GATGTTTTTTGAAGAGAAACTACGAGGGCTATCCTTCATGTATAATGAATCTAGAGGATGTGGAACCACAATGTTATCCCTCATTCATCAAGAAACGAGGCAATCACAATCCTCTCAACAAGCAAAGACAAGCTAATGTCACACATTTTGTTCAAAAAGTCAAAAAATCAAGAAAAAGAAAAGCCTGCTAAGTCAAAAAAAAAACATGAAAACGTGTGACTTAGGCAAAATTAAGGCATCCCGCTGGACTATCAATTCAAAAAAATTAGTTCTGGCAAAAATTAGGGAAAATAAAATTGCAAAGAAAAGGACTACAAAGAAAAGTCCTCAGCAAAGAACAAATTGGTGACTACAAACACGAAGACATGAGGGTGGTTTCTACTCCGAAAGCCTCGCCGTTTCCTTGACCGTCACAAAATCCTTTTGAGAGATGAACACTCATGTTGAATTAACTGAACATAGGGTTGGAGAACATCATGAAGAATGGGTGGGCACCAAATATTTTGAGCCTTAAAATCTTTTTTCTAAAATCCATGAACCAGACCACGATTCAACCTTCAAAAGTCCTAATTGAAGCAAGGTTATTTTGAAAGCATACTTCAATGAGATAGTGTTCCTGACTCCCATGAATGTTCTAAATAGTTATGTTGGTATCATATGTTTTTCCTATACAAAAATAATTGGTGCTCTAACTCGCAAAATTTGTGCGATATCTTTTCAAAATCTTCAAGACTTACATAACTGTTGCATTAGAATTTTCATTCTCATAATAAAATTTTCTAACTGCAAAACATTTGTTTGATATCAAGGAAACTCACATATAAGCACCAGTGATGAGTCTATTCTTAAGGCCTGAAGCTCTGTTGAGTAATTGGCAGATCATTTCAAGAAAAATCATATGCAGGGACATGTCAGCTGAAAACCTTAAGCACGAACATGTTGCTTCTCCCAGTTAATGCTTTTCCCAACTTGTTTGCTCGTTTGGGGCAAAAATTCGAAGACTTTGTTGTGCCGACTACAGTCAATCCGGGGCAATCACGTAAAGATTTGATGAATCTCTCTAAGAGTTTGAAGACACTAGAGCATGGTGAATGCCATGTCTTTTGTAAAATCCTCTTGAGATGATTTCTCCTCATCAACCATATAGCTCGGGGCATTTTAGAGGTAAAGTTATTCGCAAGAATCGTCGTGCATCACGCAGCTTATCAGCAGTAAACTTGGGGCATCAAAAATTAATCCCAGGGGTAATCCAGATTTGTCAAGATATGTTTTTCATACATTATCAGAGGGTGGTGTTCCCAGTATCTCCAACTAAGCAAGACTTCTTTCCAGCTGAAACTTTGTTTGTGTTGTTATCCTTTCAATGGATTGTTTGCAATAGAAGACTAGACTTTGGGTTTTCTACCTGAAAATATCTTCCTCTCCAGAGATATTTGAGCCTTGTAAAAGGACCCCGCTCCAATGGTGGATTTTGTTTTCTATCTCCAGTAATGTTACCATCCTGTTGAGATTAGCCGAGTGTCGAGTTGTACTGTGATGTCTTATCATTTTCTGTCTATCTCCCCTGCCTGTTTTGTCAGCATATACATGACATTCATTTATTCATTCACACTTGCATCATGCACGCACATTTGTATTTGTTGATGTCATTGAGTTTGTATACCTCGGTTATGTCTATTCAAATAGTGTATTTGATCTTTCCAAATAGAGTGTCAACTTAAGCAGAAAGTGCGCCTCCTTTCTAATTCCCCACTGAGTTAACTCTCGTGGAAGAATCTTGATTTAGCTTTCCTTTTCCATCTCTGGATAGGATAAATCCCCATCTGAGTTGTTTCCTCATTGGGTGGAGTCTTGTTTGACTATTTTCTCTCCAGTTTATTCCTGGATTGAGCTTTGTCTCTTGTGAACGATACCCTGTGGATCTCTCTAGGTTGTGAAACCTAGATGGAGCGTGCATTTATTTTGCAACGTAAATACTTGGTCTCCTCAAGAAGGGTGTATTCATGGTTCCCCATTGAAGATGAACTTTATCCCCCAGCAGTGTTATCACAACCTTCTTCTGGAATATCGACATGATAACAAGCGACTGACTCTTTATTTGAGCAGTTTGATTATTTCTGATTTCTCTACGACAAATGGCGGTCTCTTCATGAGCAGTTTGTCCATCCTCGATGAAATTATTGATTCTCACCTCCAGCAATATCTTCATGATGTGTTATTTATATCTTTGAAAGCAACAAGTGGCGGACTCTTCACGAGCAGCTTGTGTGCTTTAATATTCTTTGAAGACAACAAGCGGCGGTTTCTTTATGAGCAACTTGTGTGTTATCGATACCTTTGAAAAACAACAAGCGGCGGTCTCTTCATGAGCAACTTGTGTGTTATTGATACCTTTGAAAAACAACAAGCGGTGGTCTCTTCATGAGCAACTTGTGTGTTATTGTTCTTTTGAAAAACAGCAAGCGGCAGTCTCTTCATGGACAACTTGTATGTTATCAACACTTTTTGAAAACGGCAAGTGGCAGTCTCTTCATGAGCAGCTTGTACGAAAATGGCAAGTGGCAGCTTCTTCATGAGCAGCTTGTACGTTAGTATTTTTGGAAGACAGCAAGTGGCAGCTTCTTTATGAGCAGCTTGTGGGTTTTTGGAAACAAGTGACAGCTTCTTCATGAGCAGCCTGTATGCTTTGATATTCTTTGAAGACAGCAAGTGGCAGCTTCTTTATGAGCAGCTTGTGGGTTTTGGCAACAAGTGGCGGACTCTTCATGAGCAGCTTGTGTGTTTTAATATTCTTTGAAGACAGTAAGTGGCGGTCTCTTCATGAGCAACTTGTATGTTATTGACACCTTTGAAAGGAAGCAAGTGGCGGACTCTTCATGAGCAGCTTGTGTGCTTTAATATTCTTTGAAGACAGCAAGTGGCGGTCTCTTCATGAGCAGCTTGTATGTTATTGACACCTTTGAAAAGAAGCAAGTGGCGGTCTCTTTATTTGAGTAGCTTGTGTATCCCCAACAATAATGTCTACTCAGCAAATGGCACCCCTTCGGAAAAGTCCCGTGGGGAAGTTTTTATTTTATCCTTTTCAAGCGATATCTTGGTTAAAGAAGAAATGTGTTACCGTTCTTGGTAAAATTCAGAAATCAAAGATGTTTATCTCCAGCCACAGTGCCGATGTCAATCATTTTGTTTTCCAGCCACAGTGCTGATGAAAATCATTTCTTTTCCAGTCTTCGTACTGGTGTAAATCATTTCTTTCCCAGTCTCAACACTGATGTAAATCATTCAAGAGTCTCTCATTTGAAGTCTATGACTTTGTTTCCCCGGTGGAGTTACAACCCCTTCCTCTGTGGGATTACTGTATAATGTGCTTGGTTTCTCCAGCATAGTCAGTCTCATATGACGTCATTCCCCATAAAATTCAGAGCATTACATTCATATCATATCATGAACATAATCGCGGTATCTTAAAGCCAAAAATTGGGTATTCTATATTTAAGTCCCTTCAATCTCGTCAAAATGAAGATCCCAATCTTCATATCTCCAGATAGAAGAAACTTAAATAGGGGCAGCCGTTGTACCCCAATTTTTGACCTAAGATCCCATTTTTATTTTTGCATAAGTCAAGGTCACGAAATACGGTCGGTTTTAACGTCTCACCTTCGAGCTTTGACTATGCGAAGATTGTCAAGTGTTTTGAACATTTTTAGCATATGTATCACTAATTTCTAATCGCATACAAAGGTGTATGTTCATGTTTTCTTTTGTGTCATGTGCAGAGACAGGTCTGAGCATCAGGTGTCGCGCCTCAATTAAGGTTTTGAGTCTCCCAAGCCAAAAGTACGATTGACTATGGATTCTTGAAGACTGATTCATCAAGGCACAACTGTCGCACCCCATTTTTCGCCCCTTCACTTTTTTCGACTGGTGCATATTTTGTCGTTAATTTGAAAAATCGATCATTTCGCATACTTTCTTGTTTTTATTCATCATTCTAATTTCTATTTAAAGAAAAAAGAATTAAAATAGTTTATCATTTGCATTTTCTATCATATTTCCAATGAATTTGTTTTAGTTCAAAAATTTGTCTTATTATTATTTTTTTCTTATTTTAATCTATTTCTATTTCTTTTAGATATTACTAACTATTTTCTCTTTTTCTCATTATTGTTATTATTATTAGTATCTTTATTGCATTTTATTATTTCATCTTTTATTGTTACTAATTATTTTTATTTTGTTCTCATTATTGTTATTATCATTGTTGCATTTTATTATTCTTATTTTATTTATTGTTACTAATACGTTTTTTTTCTTTTATATTATTGTTACTATTATGTTATTATTTGTTTGTTTTTGTCAAAAATATAGAAAGAAAATTACAAAGTAATTCCATTACAATATCATTCACTACTCTTCAAAGTGTAGGTTTCAAGTGCCTAAAATACAAAGTCTCAAGATCTAACTATTCATCATCCTTTATTCAAACCATTCAACTTTCAAGACAATGTTCAAAATTCAAATGTCAAGTTCAAATGCCATTCAAAGTTGCAAAGGTTTTTCAAGAGAGGTTCGAATACAAGGGACAAAAGTTCCATCCAATTTATAATGCTTACAATTTGGAATTATGGAAATTTTGAATTCAAATATAACAAGTTACAAAGTCTAAACCATGTTTCACCAAAAGTTGTCATTTCACTCAAACACTCAATGTCATAATAAAAGTTACAAATTCAATTATCAAATGATCAAATACATCAATTCAAAACTACCAAGTCCTATTTATAAATGACATCAAGCTCCCAAAACTCATCCAAACCTTGCTTCAATTTTCATCCAAATCTGTCCACCAAAACAACAAAATATATGAAAACAAAATCAGTCCAATTTCAAAAGAAAAAGAGAGGGAAGATACATGTATTGTTATATGGTAAAATCATAAAAATACAAAATAGAAAGGGACCTTTCCAATGATACTACACTCCAAATTCTGCTACTGCAATATGCCCAAAATCATCCATGCTGCAGTGCTGCAAAAAAAACTGCATAATAATGCCCCAAAACTGTCTTTTGTCTGCTGTCCAGAATCACTGCTACAAACTCTGCCGTACAGTCCCAAAACTGTATAAGTTCTGTCCAAAATCAACCTATGTTGCAGCAGTCAAACTAGTTCTGCTATGCTGTCCCAATTTTGCACAAGAATAGAAAACCACCAACCTGCATCAAGAAAGCAAGAAGAAGTGAACAAAAACAATTTCAACCCTTCTATTTCAACGCACAGCATAATCCCTCATCTCATTCATTTTTTCCCCTTCAAAACAGAACAAACACGATTCCACCTTCCTCCCATCTCCCTCTGTTATGTTCATCTTCCACGAAGTTCTCCACAAACCAGCCATCATCTCCATTACATACTCAACTAACCTTCACTCCAAACACTCCATACCCCATCATAAACCAGAAATCTTCATCATCTCTTTAAACTGTATCAGACCTCTACAATCCACAGTCAACCTTACCAACCTAACCGTGTAACACTCAACCTTACATAATCTCACACCCTTCAACTTACAACCTAACTACTGTCTACCCAACTCATCTCTCTAACCTTTCACCAAAATCTTCATCATCTTCATCAACACTGCAAATCACATTTCATCGCAAAATGTAAACAACAACAACATCAATGTTCCAACAATAGCCTTGTAACAACAACAGCGATTCAGAAACGCAGAAGAAAATAGAAGAAGTTTCAAACTCGAAAAAGGAAAGTGCGAAAACTGAAGCATACCTCTAGACTTCTGTGGGTGGCATCACCGTAGAAGACGCGTCGGACGAATTCCGAAAGGTAAGCTTCAAATCCTTTCTTCTCACATTTTCTGCGTGTGTTCCTTGTTGTCTTCTTCAAACCTCGAAATCGCACGAAAGCGGAAGCTGTGAATCAGTAACGAGATCGGAACCGCGATTGAGAAGACGAAAGTGACGAGGGGAACCGAGACATAACTGAACAAAGTTTGAGCGCTGATTAGAAGTTGAACAGAGATGAAGCGATATCGGAGAAGAGGCTGTGGCGAAGCTTTGCACGGCCGAAGCTGATGAAGAAGAACGAAATTGCGACCGAAGGAGGAAATCAGAGAGGCGAATCGCGAACGGAGATGATGATGAGCAACGACAAGAGGCGACAAAGCATCAACAGCAGAGACGACGAGTTAGGCTTACGGCGCCGCTGTGGAAGTTGACGGGAGAGAACCACGGCCGTTGGAGTGGTGAAGAAGAGTTTTGCGTTTCACGTTTGAGAGCTGATATACATCACTTACTTCTATTAACCCTAAACAAACAAAACGCAACCGTTCTGATTATTTGATGTTATTTTTTTTCTCTTTTGTTTTATTAATTAGTAATTTAATAATAATAATAATAATATTAAGATTAATCCAAGAGAAAAAAATGATTTAATTTGTTGACTTCATGTCCTCAAATCCAATCGCGCGAATACCTTCATTTCATTGAAAACTTAAGATAATTTTCCCAAATATTCAATTTTTTCAAAACTCATACCTTTTAAGTCAAAACTTCGACATTAGGTCGTCGTATCTTCAAAAAACCGTCCGTACCCCTTTTTGGCCAAAACAATTTATTTTTAATCAAACAAACAATTTTAACCAAAAAACAGATATTTCAAAAGGTTCTTGCGGAGTACCGCAGATGCATTGGGTGCTAATACCTTCCCATTGTATAACCAACTCCCGAACTCTCGATCTCTTTTAAAAAACGCATTGTATTTTCATTACTTCTAAATATTACTTTACATTGCATATTTTAGGGTTTTATTTCGCTCTTTTCCCTTTTCCCTTGGAAATAATAAAGCGCGGTGGTGACTCTTGCTTTTGTGAGTCAAGTTAATTAATAGCTCGATCTCCGATTTTCACCGCTACAGAATTGGCGACTCTGTTGGGGAAAGATTGACCTCTTGCTGGTCCATCCCTAAGTGGGTTACGCCTAATTTGTTTTATCTGTTTTATCATTATTTGATTGTTTGATTATATGTATATATTATTATTATTTGGGTGTTAATAATATTTATAAAGAACAAGTCCTATACCCGGACTAAGTTACACTTAGGAATAGGACGGGCGGTATAGTAAAACTGTAAAACTTGACGTCTCCTCCAGCTTTAAATTCCAGGTTTTGGAACATAGACTTTCTTCCCGTCATGTGTCGTGAGCACCCAGAGTCCAGGTACCATGACTGGTGTCTCAATTGAGCTGTTAAGGACATCTGCAACAAATATTATTTTATCCTTAGGTACCCATATCTTTTTGGGTCCTCTGGGGTTAGAGTATTTAAAGTTCTATTTGAACTTTGGATTAGCATAAGAGTTTCCAGAATGTGATGTATATTTAATATCATGTGTGTGTCCAAATTTGAATTGTTTGTTCAGAGGTTTATATGTGAAAGTCATCTTAGCAACAGGTTTTGGTATACATGTCTCCTTCCCTTTGGGAGTTTCATATCCAATTCCTCTTATGTTGTTCCCACTAACTCCATAGATCATTGAAGCCATTTTTCTTCTATCTATGCTTTTAGCAAGAAAAGTTTGAAAGCTACAGTCATATTCTTTAAGAATATCTTTTGAACTTGACACAAAATCTGAATTAGAATTTTTTGAACTTTTTGAATTTCCTCTTTAAATTTAAAATTATTTTCTTTGAGTTCAGATTTTTCTGTTTCATGTTTCTCAAGATCAGATGCAAGACTCTTTTTGATTTTCTTGTATTTGATTTTGAGTTGACTATAGTTTTCCAGAAGTTCTGATAAACTTTCAACAAGTTCAACTCTAGTAAATTCAGAGAATACCTCTTTTTGTTCTGACTCACAGTCTGAGTCATATGTTGTAGTAGCCATCAGAGCTAGGTTGGCGTTCTCATCTTCAGAATCAGATTCATCTTCAGAGGATTCTGAATCATCCCAGGTTGCCATCATACCTTTCTTTCTACCAAACTTTTTCTTTGGTTTTTCTCTTTGAAGTTTTGGACAATCACTCTTGTAGTGTCCTAGTTCTTTACATTCATAACAAATTATATCTCTTCTGTTTAACTTTTTATGTCCAGAAGATTGTGGTTTATCTTCTGACTTCTTGAAGTTCCTGAACTTCTTCTGTTTGTGCTTCCACATCTGATTAATCCTTCTGGAGAGCAAGGATAGTTCATCTTCTTCTAACGCCGATTCTTCAGAGTTTCCTTCTTCAGCCTGAAAAGCGTTAGTTTCATATTTTTAAATTGATTTAAGGGTAACAGACTTACCTTTCTTCTGAGGCTCGTGCTCATCAAGTTCTATCTCATGACTTCTTAAAGCGCTGATGAGTTCTTCAAGAGACACGTTGTTCAGATCTTTTGATAATTTGAAAGCAGTGACCATAGGTGCCCATCTTCTGGGTAAACTTCTGATGATCTTCTTAACGTGGTCTACCTTAGTGTATCCCTTGTTCAGAACTCTCATGCCAGCAATCAGAGTTTGGAACCTTGAGAACATAGCTTCTATAGATTCATTTTCTTCTACTTTGAAGGCTTCATACTTCTGGATGAGAGCCATAGCTTTAGACTCCTTCACTTGAGTGTTTCCTTCATGAGTCATTTTGAGAGACTCAAACATATCATGTGTTGTATCTCTATTTGTGATCTTCTCATATTCCATTTTAGAGATAGCATTTAGAAAAATATTTCTAGCTCTGTGGTGATTTTTGAAATCAGCTTTTTGTTGTCTATCCATATTTTTCTCTATCAATTTTGTTTCCTTCTGAGTCTGTAGGATGTGTGTAACCATCCAAGACTATATCCCATAAATCACTATCATGACCTATAAAGAAACTTTCTAGTCTATCTTTCCAATATTCAAAATCTTCTCCATCAAATATAGGAGGTTTGTTGTAGCTATTGTTGTTTTGTTCAGTTGCCATTGTGTTTTCTTTCTGGATCTTTTCCTGACACGGTTAAGTGTTGCACTCAGAGTCAAGCTCTGATACCAATTGAAGGTGAGAAAACACTTAGAAGGGGGGGGGGGGGGGGGGGGGGGTTGGATAAGTTTCTCTTTTTCTTTTCTTAAATGCTCAACAATAATGGAAAGACACAGTTATTTTTATCCTGGTTCGTTTGAACTCAAACTACTCCAGTCCACCCGCCAAGGTGATTTCGCCTTTCTCAACAAGGACTTAATTTACTATAATTAAACTGATTACAAACACACAACCAAACTGTTGTGACTAACAATTCAAAGCACAAGTAAACTTACAAGTGACTAACACCACTAAGACTCAAACTAGTCCTAGCCTTCTTGAGAAATCTAACCAAACTTGGTCTCTCAAGGAACAATTACAAGAATTAAATCTTTACAGATAGTGAAACAAATTGCTTCTAAAAAAGCTATATCACAAACTGTGATTTTTCACTAAGATTAGTTTTGCACAAAGTGTTTGTAAAATTATTTGTGATAAGCAGAATATTTTCACGTCATTAGGTTCGTTGGCTTGCAATAAATGATCTTCTATTTATAGCATGAAGAAAATGATTGTTGCTGCCTTCAAAAGTGGAGAGCAATTAATGTTTGCGTGTTTTCTTGTAGTATTGCATTTTCCAATGAGCTAGCGTAGATACTTGAGTGCATGTAGCCGTCTTTGCATTTAATGAACAAATGACACTTGTCAGAGCATGTTTCCTGAAACTTGACAAGACTTGTTAGCTTCTTTATTCTATCAGAACTAGCTTCACAACTTGCTTCAGAGTATGCTTGTAAATCTTCTTATCAGTGCTTGCTTTTAAATCTTCTTATCAGCGCTTGCTTTGTAGAAAACTTCTGAGCATGGTTTACATGGAAACTTGCTAAGCTTTAGAAGATGCATAAAATAGTTTCTTATCAGAGTCAGCATCAGAACTTGCGCTAAAACAAATAGTTCTTTCATTAAAGAACTTCTTCATTTATTTTCAGCTCAGCACGTCAAAATGATTTTCATCTAGGAAAATACTTCAGTCAAAACATTATCTTAAACAAATAAATATGCTCATCAGAGTATCAATTATATAAAATATATTTTATTATTATCATCAAAACTCTGAGATATGATCAGAACCAATCTTGTTCTAATAATATGAACTGATTCTAATGTATTATTTATCATACATCTGATTATATTGTTTGATATCTCACCCATTCCGTTTGAATGTTGCCCTCTGTTGGTAACATGCAGGTAATCAAGAAGGATAGTTGTTACCTTCGTTAATTCGAGTCGGTGTCGTCGCTCTGATACGTAGCACTCGGGGGGATGAACACTTGATGTTTAGTTGTTGATTATTATTTCAGTTGCTGAATTTTTAGGTTGATTACATGAAATAATTGTTGACTTGAAGTTCTTCTAGTCTAACAAGAGACATTAAGTGAATTGAAGTTGAGTATGTATATTTCACTACTTATCAATAAAAGTTGTTTGATTTTCAAGAATAAATTAGGTTATTATCAGTTCATCCGAATTAAGTGTTATGTATCTATTTTATATGCGATTAAATGAAGTTTGATTTTAAGTTATAAATGTAGCATCCTATTTGTGTTGAACTCTGATTTTTTTATTATCCTCCGGGTAGAAATGGGGTGTTACATTAGTGGTATCAGAGCAGGTCGGTCCGTCTGACCAAGTTGTCTAATGTTGTTTGTTCCTTAGTACGCGACAAGTGTGTGAAATATTGTCGGTGCTTGCTTTCTTTCCTAAACACTTGTATGCAGGAGTTGGTTTGAAGATAAGTGGGGGGAGAAGCTTTGCTTCTCGGATATGTTTCCGTTGTAAGATGTTAGCTCAGTATGCTGCTGATGGCGACATTTCAAGTATTGTTGAAGTTTTATTGGTTCCCGAATCCGAAGGTGACATGGATTAAAGATTTTGTTTGTTAATTGATTTGGAGCGTCTTGAGGGAGGGTGATCAGAAAAGGTTGATGTATACTTATTGAAGGATGAGGAGAAATGTAACGGTTGTTCATATACGAGTAAAGTGTAAATCCCTGATGTTTCTGAAGGTGATTGTTAAGTAACAAGGATACTTTTAGAAGATGGAATTTAGAAAGTTGTGATGTTTCAACGCTGCTGGTGGATTGTGAAGTTGTTGGTTTGAGTAGCCCTTGCATAAGATGTCGACGTTTAAACGGTGGTAGAGTGACAAATTGCTGTAGACCCTACCGTGGGATCCTTGTGAGTGAT